ACACTTCGGCCCCAATCCTCCCTTTTGCTGCCCCAAAAGAGCAGCAAAATGCCACTCCTTTTAGGGGTGGCAAAAGGCTGCCCTGTCAGCCACGGCAGAGGCTTTTTGGCGCCCTTTTGCCACAGCGTGTGCACACGCTGTGCCAAGAGGGCGTCCTGATGCCATGTGCTGTGTGAATGGGCACACGCCGTCAGGACGGGGTTAGGGTGGAGTTGGGGTGGCTGGTGTGCAGCTGCCCCACCCCAACTCCACCCCCAGGCTGGCCCTTTAGGCCGATTTGCAAAGCCCCCAAATCACTCCTAACAGATGGCCATCTAGCCTCTGTTTAAAAACCTCCAAAGAAGGAAATCCCACCACACTCCAAGGCAGAATGTTCCACTGTTCAACAACTCTTACTGTCAAGAGGTTCCTCCTAATGTTTAGGTGAAAACTTCTTTCCTATATTTTGAATCCAATAGAGACAAATGCAAAATTCTACATTTAGGCCACACAAATCAAATGCACAGGTATAGGATGGGAAATACATGGCTCAGCACTATGATGTGTGAAAGGACCTTGGGATTATTGTTGATCATAAGTTGAACATCAGCAGCAGTGTGATGCTACAGCAAAGAAAGAGAATGCTATTTTGGTCTGCATTAACAGAAGCATGGTTTCCAGACTGAGGAAAGTAATAGTCCTATAATATTCTCTGATGATCAATTCTCCTCTGGAGTACTGCATTCAGTTCTGGGTCCCTTATTTTAAGAAGGATATATAGAAAAGTTGGAGCAAGTTCTGAGAAGGGCAATGAGGATGATAAGAGTTCTGGAAAACAAAACATACGAGGAAAGATTGAAGGAGGTGGTCCTGTTCAGGTTGGTGAAGAGAAGACTGAGGGGTGACATGATTGCACTCTTGAAATACCTAAAGGGCTGTCACACAGAGGAAGAGCAGGTATGTTCTCTGCTGCACAGAGGGTAAGACCAAGTCTAATGTTTTTCAGTAAATTTCTATTTCCTATTTCTAAGTGTTGACTTGAAAGGTGCTCTGAGGTCTCAAGAGATAATGGCTTGACATAATGGGTATATAATAACTCATCTAAGGGCCGATGGAGACCAGCACTATAGGCTGGCCTGGGGGTGGAGTTGGGGCAGGGCAACCGCATGCCGGCTGCCCCCAACTCCACCCCGACACTGCCCCAATGCCATGCGCCCATCCACATGGTGCACAGCTTCAGGGCGCCATATACGCTGCGCCAAAAGGGCACAAAACAGCCACAGTGGCGACTCTAAGAGCTGCCCCAAATGGTCCGTCTGTATCGGCTCTAAGATGGTTTCCCAGTTCATTTGGCTACCTCAAAGTGAATCAGCTTACATAAGGAGGAGTCATATTGGATCAGACCAAAAGCATATCTAATCCAGCATTCTGCTCCCAGATTTCTACTGCTCCCAGCTTTCTGCTGTTTCCCTCAAAGAGCAACTTGTTGACAAGACATTCATTCAAGCATTTAAAAATCCATGTTTCATTTCTTTTTTTAAAAAAACGTTCCATTTGCACATATTTTATCCATCTCTCAGCAGCCCAAGAGGTGCTGTGAAGCAGCAGTAGGGAAAATGACAGCCTTATCTTTGAAGAACACACTTGGTATTACAGCTGCTATTCTTCCCTGATGCATTCACATTTTACTCAAATGACAAATGTATTGGTTTTTAGCTCAATTTTTAAGAAAGGTCTCATGATCAAACATGATTAATGAAAAACTCTCATATTTCCCCTCCCACACACACACACACACACACATACACACACACTCCAGTGGGGAAAGTCTAAAAGGTTCTTATTGCCTAGATAACCACATCAGCAGGAAATTCAGCTAGCAAAGTGGCTTTAAAGCAAACAACTCTATCTGTACCAGTCGTTTGACAGATATGCAGGTTTACTTGGATACATATCTCACAGTGTTAAATGGGTCTTACGTCCTTAGCGAGTATAGGTATTTAGTATTGCAGCCTTAAAAAAGAATCCTACACACACCTTCTTGGACTTAGAATCATAGAATCATAGAGTTGGAAGAGACCACAAGGGCCATCCAGTCCAACCCCCTGCCATGCAGGAACTCCCAATCAAAGCATCCCCGACAGATGGCCATCCGGCCTCTGCTTAAAGACCTCCAAGGAAGGAGACTCCACTACTCTCCATGGGAGTGTGTTCCACTGTCGAACCGCCCTTACTGTCAGGAAGTTCCTCCTAATGTTGAGGTGGAATCTCTTTTCCTGCAGCTTGCATCCATTGTTTCGGGCAGGGGTAGGCAACCTTTCCCCTTTAAGGGCCAAGGGACTTCAGCTCCCAGAAGCCTCAGCCATGTTGGCCAATAGTCCCATGTTTGCCAATAGCTCCTGGGATTCTGGGAGCTGAAGTCCCTCGGCCCTTAAAGGGGAAAGGTTGCCTACTCCTGGTTTCGGGTCCTAGTCTCTAGAGCAGCAGAAAACAAGCTTGTTCCGTCCTCAGTATGACATCCCTTCAAATATTTAAACACGGCTATCATATC